TAAGGAAATTAGTGTTTGGTAGATTATTTCTCTGTTGTAACAATGCTTCTTGCCAATAAATCTTATACCGTTGGAAAGCCTGTTTATTTCCCTTTTAAATGGGGCCCCATTCGTAAGGAACATGCATTTATGGGATGAGCAGCAGAGCTGAGTATGTGGGTTGCGGCCATAAAAATGTGGCAAATCTTCTCTGCCAATGCCAAACAGAGCGGTTTATCAGACACTACCTCCAGAATTTGGGAGTGGAGAGGATGGAATGGTCTGCCAGCAGTCCTGAACTCAACCCCTTTGAACACTTGTGGGATCAGCTTGGGCGTGCTGTTTGTGCCAGAGTGACCAACACAACCACGTTGGCTGACTTGCGACAAATGCTTTTTGAAGAATGAGATGCATCCCACAGCAGTGTGTGAGCAGGCTGGTGACCAGCATGAGGAGGAGGAGCCAGGCTGTTGTGGCTGTGTATGGTTCTTCCACATGCTACTGGGGCTCCTGACTGTTAAATTAATGAATTGTTAAATTGCCAATATGTCTTGTTTCTTCACACTTCAATCATCCAATCCACCAAACAAGAGTCAACAGCAGAATAAGCTGTTTGGCATTGGCAGAGAAGATTTGGCAAATCTTTCATGGGCGCAACCCACATATTCAGCTCTGCTGCTCATCCCACGAATGCATGTTCCTTACAAATGTGACACTGTTTGAAAGGTAAATAAACAGGCTTTCCAATGGTATAAGATTTTTTACCAAGAAGCATTGTTACAACAAAGAAATAATCTACCAAACACTAATGTCCTTACTTTTTGTGCTATGTTTATATATGTGTATATATATATACATACAAACATTTGTACCCTTCACTTCATTCTGTGTAATTTTACATTGAGAAAAATATTATGGCAACAGTATCATATGCCTTACTTTCAAATCATTAGTTCTGGGTTACTCTGCTGAGGCCCTCAGCCAGTTAAACCATCCATCCATCATCTGTAACCTTTAACCTTTACACCATTGCGAGGGTCTGAAGCCAATCCCAGCCAACATTGGGTGAGAGGCGGGGTATACCCTGGACCTATCACAGGGCTTACACATGGAGACAGACAACAATTCACGCTCACATGCAATTTAGAGTCAACAATTAACCTAACCTGCATGTCTTTGGACTGTGGTAGGAAGCCAGAGACCCCGGAGAAAGAATAGTCAATGCAGAAGGATCAATCAGCAGGTTCACGCTCAGAACGCTTCTGCTATGAGGCAGTACTAACCACTGCACCGTCCCAGATTAAACCAGTAACAGACTAAATGTAATGCAAAATGCAGTGTGTTTATCTAACCTGAATGTCCACCAGGAAAAACCACAGCATGCAGTAGACACAGGTGAAGATCCAAACCACGGCAATGATCCGCTTGGCCCGGGACACTGTGCACACTGTCTGAGCCTTCATCGGATGGCAGATAGCAATGTACCTGCATGCAAAGAGGAGATGGAGGGTTCAAACACACCGTGACTGTCAATGTTCTAACTGCCAACAGTCTGTTGGTAGGAAGATACCCATGTGTTGTTTATGCAATGTTTTTAGACAAACATCTTCACTAGAGCACTGACCAATATAATGACAGCCAGACATTAAGCTAAGTATTGCTGAATATTGTTTTATTCATCCATAGAGTTGGCTTGATAATTGAAATTATAGGAAGAAAGTGTTGGTCAGATTATTTGTACGTGGGACACACCAAGAGAAGAAACAAGACTGATGTGATTTATGAAGAATCACCTTGAAGACTTAACATCGACTCTTTCACAATGTATCATAGTTTAATAAACTGATTTCTTCCGATTCATCAGAGATCATAAGAGAATTGAGGTGATGTTGGGAAACTGAACAAGAGGCACATCTCTCTCTCTCTTTGCACATTTTAACTTGTGCTGCTCGAACCGTTACGTTAATTTAACATTCAATTTGTGGCATCTTGAAAGTGATCAGAAATTCATACTAGATTGGACCTGATACAATTGTTGTCATGACATTTACATAACGGAGCTCATTCAGACATGAGACAGACATGTTAAATTGATGTAAGAGGTACCACAGTGACCAGTCAGTTCAGACTTTTAGTTCATAGAGGTTTCCCAAACAAAGTGGATTATGTGCAAGATTGTAAAGGACAAAGCAAGTGTGTTCAACCGAAGGCCAAATCCCAGTGTCCCCCTAAGGCCTTAAACCCTGAACCCTTAAGGACTTACTGACATCACCTGGTAGAAAGTTAAGTGCGAGAGGCTATAAGGGCTTGGCATGGTGTAAATACGAATGGGACAGCACTTTGCTGCAACATATCACGTTACCACGAAAATATCAAAATATTATCTTCAATTGTGGGAATTTATTTTATACATTTTACTCCCAGATTTCAACGTTTTCAAGGCTCTTTCCTCACAAGATGAGAGGCAAATTAAAATATTCTATTTACAGCTTCAATAACAAAATGAAATGTTTGTTGAATAAATCTCTGTAATATAATCTCTGCTTCCATTCCTCTGATTTCATGTGTTTTTTTGTTCCATCTTTGATCCTTAATGATTCTGAGTAAAATGTTATATTCCAGGCTGAACACACACGAGCCGTCCTCTTTGTTTACATTTCCATGCTTCCATTCGTTACCCCGTGTTTCACGTCAAATTGCTATGAATTGTGGGTAATTCTGTTGGGCAAAATCTGCAGAAATGTTGACTCACATAAAGTCTTCACAAAGGGCTCTAAATGTCTGAGAGAGTGCCCTCAAACACACAGCGATTTGAAAGTGGGTTAGAACTAAACCCTCACGGACTTTACGGGAGCCTCAGAGTGAGTGTGGGGATTGGGACTGGGCCACAGTATATAAACCCCGGCTCTTCACCCACTCTGCCAGGTTGATGACAGCCCTCAATGGAGTACTCTGGGACAAGTCCTCATGCTTAACTTTTGCGTCGACATTTTGGATAATAACTCCATGTTAGTTTGCCTCACTTCTAACGACTCTCTGTGTTAGCGTCATTGCTCACACCATCAACCCTGTAAATCTACACTCCGCCTTGCTTGCCCTCTCCACCATTCCCTCCTGCCACACCAGACATTCATCGCCGCTCACCTGGCTCCGCCAACTTGCCTGCCACTCTCCGCCATCACCGCCACATCATCCTACCCCGCCCGTTTTTGAGTTTTGCCCGTTCCTTGTTTTTTCCCTTGGATTTTTTTGTTTGAGGATTTAATAATAAAACAAAAAATGTCCGAAGTAAAACTTGCAGTGCAAGGAAGTCCAACAAATGTGGAACAAAAAAATCCAAGGGAAAAAAACAAGGAATGGGAAAACTCAAAAACAGGATAAGGATATCAAAAAACAATCATGAGGGAAACTTACTTGACAAAACACAAAGCAGAGCTGAACAGGAAAAGGGGCAACACAGGGAACATACCATGAATGATCATATCCGGGCACAACTGACCCAGGGGACACCCAGGGGACACCAGGGGACACCCAGGGGACACACAGGGGACACACAGGGTTTAAATACACTGGGAAGGTGCAGGTGATTAGACACAGGAGGATTCAATCAAGGGCGGGGCAGACAAGGGCAGGAAGTGAAGTGAACACAGGACACAAGAGGCAGGGAACATCTAAATAAAATGGAAGAAACAATTAAACAAAACCCAAAATCATGGACCTTTGTTGTCGTGGTTACAATAATAAACACATGGTTTAGGTAAGGGAATCTTGGTCAGTAGGAAACCAGTCTCCATGTTTATTGACCTATTCATCCATCACAACCTCACTACACAGATGTGCTCAACAACGATGTCTCACTACTTCCTTCTTTGCTCCCGTCATACTTTCTACTGACACTTGAGGGCTTTGTCACTTGAAATATGTTGTTTTGGGGAACTTGCTGATAGTCCTTGAACAATGTGTTGGCATTGGCTTCTGTTTTAAAATAAAAACAAGCCGAGACCATTGGTTTGCATCAGATGACATCACTGACCCCCACATTGTTTAGCATTAGTTCAACAGTTGTCCTCTGAAACCTATGCAAAGTAAAAGACAAAGCATTCTCCTGTAAAAGTAAAATGAACACCAATACCAACTCAAAGCAGTACAATCTAGCAAAAGTTGTAGTTGGTTGTTTGTCCATCCTCACCTCTCCACAGTGAAGGCAGTGATGGAGCAGGAGGACACGTTGATGCCCAGGTACTGAAGGTAGGTGATCCCCAGACAGCCGGCGTGGCCAAAGACCCATGTGCCCGTCAGACTGCCCGACACGTTGGGCAGCCCTGCCGCCACCAGCACCGTCAGGTCGGCTATGGCCAGGCTGACCAGATAACAGTTGGTGGGTGTCCTCATGTGACGGGTGGTGAGGACCACGAGGACCACCATGATGTTCCCAACAATGCCCATGCCAGACACCAACAGGACCAGGAACACCGACACTGTCTTGTACTCCAACGACTCAGAGACGGAGTCGCTGGCACTCAGAGAGACGTTGGTTGGGGTGTCGATTCTGGAGCTCCCGTTGTCGGCCATATCTGCTCGAGGTTTGTCTTTTTATACCCCAAGTGTTTGCTAATCACAGGTGACGTTCACTTGACTAAAGTGATGAGGGGCATGACTCTGACATGTCGCCGTGGTATCTCTCCTTCACTCTTATTTAAAGGTGGCATGATATTGACTGTTGTGAAGCTTTAGCAGCTCACACGTTTTATTGAGTTATCACTTCGGGGGACGTAACAGTTGAGAATTAGCTTTTAGACAAGTCTTTAATCCCAGAAGCATTGTGCTTGTTTTCTCATCTTTGATATTTCCTTCTGTCCTTCACCTTTAACGCCCGCTCTCTATCTTCCTTTAACTATCTAAGTGTGAAAAAGAATACACGTTGAATAAGGTCTCAGGACTTCCTCTCAGGGCCCCATTGAGTCACCTAGAAATAGAAAGAGAGTTCAATTAATTGGACAAACAGGGAATTGAATTGACGATAACCTTTGAATTGGCTTTGGATTTTTTTATATGCCAATGTCAAACACACTTTACCACAGTTTATCTCTCCCTCAGGATTTACTAGAATCAGTGGTTACAAAAGCATATGGTGGTTAAAACAAAGGGGGGGGGGGGGGCAATGAGATGCAGTAATTGCTAATATATGTAAGATAGAGATCAGCAATAAGTTCAGTTTTCTCTGGAAATCTTTCGAGTTTATGAGATATCTTGTGGACAAAGTTAACATGTTGTCCAGAGGATGGTGCTAGAGTAAAGCTCAAAGGTGTCATCCTCTGGCGAGTACATATGGATGTTCTTATATTTCATGTGTTTCGCTGCATCAGGGTGCTAAAGTAAAGCACGTCACAGGGGGTATTATGATACATTCTCTCCATCAATGTAAACTGTCATAATTGTCTTGATACCTTGTATTTATGAGGACACAATAATCTGTTCATGTCTGGTGACTACAGCTGATCAACACAACACTGCTTGTTTTCCATTCACCGTCTATAGGCATCAATAGGCAATATTCAAATGAGCCATTCTGGTGCTGCTGAGCATGCAGTGTAACAAATAACCTCTAATACAGCAGTCTAGCTATAAACACACTCAAAGAGTGCATAAAGATTATTTTAATAACACACCCCTCATAATGCACTTATGATGCCTCCTAGTGCAACTTACAGCCACAATCCTAAAATCCCGTACATGTGTGATTAAAGACATTTTACAAACTTTAAATACGTCAACAGATGTTGAGGGTTATCAGGGGACAGAGTGTGGACCTTTTTTTTCATCTAAAGAATCCTGATGTTTGTTTTGAGGTTTCTCATTCAGCAGAAAGCTAATTAACCAGCGTGCAGCTCTGTGGAACTCTACGGGGCATCTGCTGCTCTTTCACTCACCTCCCAGCCCGGCCACACACACACACATATTGGACCTCCTCTCCTGAGGGCTGCCTCTCGTAAATTGAGGGGCACACGAAATGAAAAGTAATTTAGTTGCACTATTCTGCCATCAATCAGATTGCATCCACTCTCCATTCCATTGCACACGCACATCGACTGAGTGAAGCGGATCCTCTGCACATGTCTGACTATCCATCATGCTTGTCTGAGTGAGGTGCCCCAGTAACTCCATTTAGCTGGAGGCCTTCTTGCTCTACTGCAGTTTACATTCATATATGCATAAACAATTTATCACTATAAGGATCTTACATAAAAATATACATATTGATGAATTGTGTCTTACAAACATTGTCTAGCGTTCTGGGAAGTATAAGCACCTATCTGCAGCGGAACTCCACAGAGAGACTGTTCCAGGCCAAGAAACATTGTTCCTTAACAGCACAACCAGTCATTTTTACACTTCCATTTTGTACATATTAATAAACTGCTGCTTAACAAAAGTTGGCTCCAGCGACCTTTCTTTCATACAGACATGAGAGTGGTAACAATCTTCTAACTCGCTGCAAGAAAACATGTCAGGAACATTTCTGAAAATAGATTTTTTTGGTTGAACTAAATCCACCTGCTGCACATTATCTTGTTTATTTAATCTGTGCAAAGAAATGCAAAGCCACACAATTTTACACTTTCAGTTGTTGTACAGATCAATCGATACGTGTTAATTAGTGAATTTTAGATTTTCACTAAATTGTCGACACAATAAACACCCGACTGTCATTAATAAGCCCCATTATTTCCTGCCTGAGTGGAATTCTTGTCCAGTATTTACTCTCAAGATACAATGATTACAGATATCTGGCACTTAAACGTAGCAAACGCGAGGTCACCAGACGAGCTGAATGTCAGAGAACGTGATTGGGTTAACCCCAGGAGTTAAAGTTGGGCTGCATGAGCCTGTGGCACAGCCACACTTTTTCAACTTGGTCGGCCCATGTGGGTGACTGACTGCAGGACGTGGCATACAGCAGGTGTGTACCGAATACACAAACATTAATTCACCATTTGTGTCTCCATTAGTAGCTACTTTAACCACGAACATTACAGTGCATTTAAAAGATGACAGACCAACACAGTGTAATAGAGCGCTCTCATACTTTATTCTTTGAGTCCTCAAAAGGAAATAAACAGAAGAAAATAATAGACATTGAAAAAATACCATCACAGTACAAAGTACCTACAAAATTGAAATAAATAAGCCTGGGCAGATAGCCAATCATAATTTAAGATACCGAGGTGGCACCTGGGCTGGCCAATCAGGGCCGTGCCTCCCCGCTGGACACGCCCCTGCTTTATGCAAGGCACCAAACCTACAGGTGTTCCTGTAGGTTTGGTGCAGGACTGTGTGGCACAGGTGCAACAGCTGAAGCACTACACGGAGGTAACAGCTGAGCTGACAGCCTACAGACTCACAAAACAAATGTCAACAACATAAACAGCTTGATATTGCTCAGGAAATGTATTCGGTTGATAGTTCAAGGACATATTTTGACAGGTGTTGGGAGAAATGGATAATTGCCATGAAACAAGATGAGGAATAAGCAACTTAACTGTTTAAATATAAAACGAATGGACATGTTCTATGTTATGTTGTATTCGTGCTACTGTCACATTCTGTTGTTTCCAGATCAGAAATGATCTTTTTTTAAACATTACCATTTCTTTCTCCTTTCTTCATGTACACCTTTGTTACACAGTGGGCTTAATGAGTGGATGACATCTGTGTCAGAATGCCATGGCTTTGGCTAATGAAGACTGCAATAGAGATAAACAGATATAACTGATTGTAAACTTCTAATTATTCTTAAATAATGAATTACCTTTGCATCATGTCAGCTTCCTCCGGGATTCTCTTCCAGCCCGTTTCTCTCTCCACTAATTAAAATGCGTGATTTGTTCCCTCGAGTTTTGATCGTGTCGGTGGCTGGTTGAACGCAGGTCGTCAGCGTGGCCATGCTGTTGTCTACATACTGTACAACACAGCGCGCACACTGCTGAGCGCCGTCACACTCACACAGAGTAACGAGGAAACAGCACTTGTGCCTTCAAAATAAAAGCGCAATACCTATCTTGGAATTAGACAACGTCACCTTTTCAGAAATAAATTCATTTAAATCTGTGGTGGGCTGAATTTCACTCGGTTCTACATTTATTTTTTGTTTAGGTGGATGTTTGCCTCATGTTCATCACTGAATGGAGGTTATCATCATCTCCCTTTTTAACAAAGGCTTTTTGGTGGGCGGCCACCAACAAACACATGACAAAGAAAACAAACCAGTTTTACATTCCTGTAGAGCACACGTGTCAAACTCAAGGCCCGCGGGCCGACTCCGGCCCGCCACGTCATTTTATGTGGCCTGCAATCCACCAGCAAAAAAAAAAAAAAAAAAAAGTTTTTTTATTATTATTTTGGAAAAAAAAAAATTAAGTTAGACTTGAAAATAAAAATATCCCCATGGTCGAAATTCTGAGATAGCATGTTGTCTGTGTAACGACATTAAAACTATCACAACAGGTGGACAGGAGAGGGAACAGCCCGTAAAGAGGTTTTCCAACAAGTGATTGAGTTGAAAAAGATCGACAAATAATCCCAAAATGTCCACGAAGAGAACAATTGATGCAGAGGGAAGAAGATGTAATTTAAGATGGGAAAGAGAATACATGTGTGTGCTTCAGGGAGAAAAACGGGTCTGTCTTCTGTGTTATGATGCGTGTCGGTGATGAAGAACACAATTCAAGTCGGCATTTTGACACCAAACACGGAGCTAAATTTAGCCTCCAAGAAAAACATCAAATTGTCCAAGAATTAAAAGGCAGACTGCAATCACAGCAGAATATATTTACAGAAGCTACAGCCCAGTGCACGCTAAAGGTATGTGAGCAGGTGAGCTCCGACCAGATACAGACTTTTACAAATGTCAGTTTGTGAAGAAACACCATCGCAGCAATCTAGCAACACAGCTAGCTCAGAGACGAGATACATCATCTATCAGTGTTTGTAAGAGGCTGAAGGCAGACCTGACTCTGTGAGGAGCTCTTGGATGTAGCTGCCATGCACGGGACGACGGCAGGGACATTAGTGATGCAGAGAGGTGACAACAATAGCTTTGAACAAAGTTAATGTCATAACTTGTGTTTGATGATATTTGTCTTTGTTATTTTCTTTAATAGTTTGATCTTTGATAGAGTAATGTGGGCTTCTTAACCCTAAATTAAAATGATTTATGTTATAATAACAGAAATGTGCTTAAATATCATTTTACATTTATATAACTGCATGTACAATATTTTTACACTTGAATAAACAATAATCAAAAGCAGAGACAGTTATTTAACAATATGTTAGGAGTAGTTACATTTATACAGTCTTACAGTTACAACCGGCCCTTTGAGGGAAACCATGATGCTGATGTGGCCCAGAGTGAAGAGGAGTTTGAGACCCCTGCTGTAGAGCATCTTTGATATTTTCATCATAAGGAACATAAACAGCAGCAACAGAAACAATTCTCTGGTCAGATAACATGGCCGACATCTTCACATTAAAAACTCAACACGAGGAAAACATTGTCCATCAACTGTGACTGTGTTTAAGCACCAAGCATCATGATGTGAACACAGAGTCCTCCTCCTCTGGTCCACCAGAGTTCTGCTCTCTGTCCTGACCCGTCAAGTGCAGCTTGATCCTGGACCACGATGGATCCAGGTCTCTGTGAAGATGTGGGCTCAAAGGTCACCGACCTCCAGCTGCTTTCATCCATCTTATTTTTCAGCGACCGGGCATCAGACAGCCAGGAGCATGCTGGGTAGAAGGAGCAGCCTCAGGTCCTGCTGGGTTAGCTTAGCTTCCATCTCCCCTCCCTCCGCTCTCTGGGGCAGTTTGGTGGTGTTTTTCCAACAGACAAAACTGGCAGATTCTGTTATTGGCCATTAGTGATAAACATGAAAAAACAACAAATAAATATTAATAATAAAATAATAATACATTTTATTTATATAGCGCTTTAAAAGACAGAAACAATAACAGCATTTATAATAACAAAATCTATGACATAACAGTAAGAAAGAAAAATAAACACGAAACGAAAGAAAGAAAACATACATGACTGACT